GTTTGGCATGCAATGTTCGGGCGCTCGCATGCCATCAGCCCTCAAATGAGTAAATTTTTGTTTGTTTTCCGCTCTTGCAGCTTTCCAGCAGGCACTCTCATATGCCCTATATATTTATTTGAAACATAGGCGGCTCTTTGCGCCTTTCTCCTCGTTTTTGTCCTCTTTTCGTACTTCTGTGCTGAAAAATTAAATTGTTGATATCGGTGCGCTCGGCGAGGGTGAGTTATCAACAGTAACTAAAATCCACCGTACACTGTGTTGCTATGTAATTGCTCTGTTTGAGTTTCTGTGGTTACTGTGCGCTAGGGGAGTTTATATGGCGGCAATGCAAGGTCATTGGAAGACCAATACATATTCTCAAATGTAATCTGTTTGCTATGTATACATACATACGTAAGCAAATATTTGATTATACATATAAAAATACTAGTTATATACCGTTTTATGTTTGTGTGTTTGGCGGCTGTTTTGCGCAGTTTAGTTGTTGCCGTTTCGTAAGGGGCTTGTTCTTTAAAGGGTGATTTGATAGCAAATTAAGCATATTTGTTACATAATAAATAGCCTCCCAGAGGCCGTACGCCTCCAAAAAGCTCTAACAAGCGATTACAGAAATACAACTTTCACTCTAAAGAGACCAGACGGGAGCTATACTTAACATGAATTGGGTGCTCCAACATCCACTTCTGGCAGAGAACAAAGCCTTGCTACGAAGCTCACCACTGTAGAACGGGTGCAATGTGCTTTATAAATATTTATCACATACAAATCGCCAGGACCGGATGGAATCTATCCGTATCTTTTTCGGTATGGTATTAGATACATAGCCCGCGTCCTCTCTAAACTCTATAGGGCGTCGCTCTTGCTGGGTTACATGCCCAGCAGATGGTCTGTGGTTAAGGTCGTGTTTCTATCCAAAATGGGCAAGCCACACGCAATTACCGTCATCGTACCGACCAATTAGCCTCAGTTACTTTTTTCTAAAGGGCGTGGAGAAAATACTGGACCAGTATATCAGAGAAGTCAATGTACGGGAACGGCCTCTGAAAAAGAACCAGTTTGCTTATCTTCCAGGCAAATCCACGGAGACTGCCATTCAAAGCCTCACTTCAAAAATTGAGAAAGCTCTGGAGTCTAAAAATATAGCCCTTTGCGCCTTCATTGATATTTCATGGGCTTTTGACAACACGTTATATAAGGGGCAATAAAAGACGCCTAGTTGTCAATGTGTGTGTGTGTGTGTTGGCGATGTTAAGAACAAGAGGCCTGATAAAATCGATAACATCCACAACGGGATGCCCTAAGGGGGTGTACTCTCTCCCCTTTTTTGGACTATGGTTATCGACGAACTCCTTTTCACACTGAACAGCCAAGGGTTTGAAACGCAAGGCTACGCAGATGATCTGGTAATCTCCCTAACAGGGCTACAATTATCAATTTATATGATAACCGAAGCGAATATGATGGTGACAGGTAATAAGGTCAATGGAAATAAGGTCAATTGACTTTATTTCCCCCCCTGGTGCGAAATAAAGTCAATTGACATTATTACCTTTTCAAAAGCGAAATAAAGTCAACAAAAATTTGGAAATAAAGTCATTGACGCTATTTCCTCATTCAAATGGAAATAGCGTCAACAATGCTTAAAGTATGTCGATTCATAGAAAAAAATGTTGTTCTTACCACAAACATTGCCCCGTAAGTGTTGTTTTTTAATAGATGAAAAAGGCTTTTGCCAAATCCTCAGTGTTGTGATATTAATCCACACACAATCATGAACTACCACCAATTGATTCTATTAAAAAAAATTTAAATTACGAATATGTAAAAACACGATGCGAAAAACTAAACGCCTGCGCACAGCTGGAATACGACAAATATTTGAAGAAAGAGTGGAGAAATGATCCATAACTTGCAAAACATTTTTCGTTTCTACAAAAATAAAGCGAACACTATTAAATTGAAGAAACAGTGCATGTCCAAAAACCCCGGAGGAGCACTGAAAGAATTCTGTGTTTTAAATAAGCATATTTTGAACGAATTCGGAATGTCTAAGGTGGAAAAGAATCCAACCTTTCTATAAGGAAACAATTATAAAAAAAGAATTTTCTTACACTGTATTTATGTCTCCGCCAGCAGTCATTTAAAAGCAGCTAAGGAGAATGACGACACTACTTATTAGATGGCACATTCAACGAGCCAATGTTCCAAAATGCGGGTATAAACAATTATTGATTATTTAATATCGGAACCGAGATCATATAAGTTAATTGATTGGTTTTCACACACTTTTGAAACACAAATTATATGCTTTTTTACTGCAGACAAGTTGTTGCCTCAAAACACAGCAGAAATCTTCCAATCAGGGCTGCCAACTCTCCTTAGTTATGAGGTGCCATATTGAGGATAAAAAAAGTGCCAAAATGTGCCATTCCTTTTAATCATTCACATTTAGCAATAAACTAAAGCCACATTTTCAAAACAAAAGTGCAATGATAAAATAAGATAAACCAGTTGAAAAGCCTTTATAAATTAGAAAATTTTAGTTGAGAAAAAGAAGTGCACGCAAAGGATTTCACAAAAATGTATTGAAATGTTATTTTTTTTACAAAAGTGCCATTTTGGCATTTTGTGCCAAATTGAAAAATTAAGTGCCATTTGAAGTAAAATAGGAACAAATGGCACGGTTTGAGCCAAGTTGGCATCCCTGCTTCCAATAACTTACAAATATAAAAATGTGAAATATCGAGGGCTTGAATTCATTAATACCCTCTATCTGCAATTTGCACAAAAATTAATTTGTGATTTTAGAAACCATCTGGGACTTATTACCTGTGGTTATATAAGGTAACATTAATATCACTGATGACAGTTAAGGCTGAGTTGGATTTTTATGTCAGAATCTCATCTTTGTGAAAAGTGTGCAGATAGGGGGTATTATTGAATATAAGCCCTCGATGTTTAAAATATATAAAAATTGTATTTCAACGTATACAAAAAATAAATCTACCTACGTTACAGCACGTCGTGAGACGGGGAAGGGGGGGCCGGGGGGGCCGCGGCGTAGCGTGACGTGGTGTGCGCGCCGGTCGCGCGGGGTACGCGGGGCGCGAGCGCGAGCGCGACGCGCGCGGTTTGGCGCCCTAAGGGGGGCGCCGCGAAGCTAAGAAAATTTAATGTTTGAAAGAGAAATAATGTCAATTGATTTTATTTCGTTTTTAAGAAGGTAATAATGTCAATTGACTTTATTTCGCACCAGGGTGGGAAATAAAGTCAATTGACCTTATTTCCGTTGATCTTATTACCTGTCACCGAATATGATCGCTTATAAATTTTAGCGATAAAAATGATGCTAACTAACCTCCTTGGCCGTGATAAATAAACAAATGCCAGATATGAAGTAAAAATCAACGAAAATTGTCTTTAGACTTCTGCAGAGTTCAGCCTTTGCCATGGATATCGACGATTTTGAGTCCACTGCCTAATAGAATGTTTTCTGCCTGAGCTTCGCCGCTATATTATTTTCGGGAACCTTGTTAAGTCCCCAGAAGATGCTTCTCTCCCACTTTTTCCGCTAATATGTCGCAATGTATATTTTACCTAAGGAAATCTTAAATCGGCTGGAAAAATATTTTCATTTCATAAAAACAATTAAACGTTTACTATGCAAATTATTAAAAATAGTTTTACTCGATCCAAGCAATTATTCTATAACAATTTCTAGGATAATTTATCTACATAAAATAGAATTATAAACATTTCATTAAGAGGCTGCAACAACAACTCAAGCCATTGCCGGATAATGGGCCTTATGAAAGAATTGCTTTTTCTTAAAATTTCAGAAGTTTTACTCGATTTATTAAAATAAATTTAAGTAAAAGATCTGAAATTTCAAGAAAAAGCAAATGCTTAGTTTTTATTCATGAGGGCCAATAAGTCAATTAATGTTTCTCTCCATTAAAATATGAAAGCAATTTCAAATACGCCAAAAGGCGCCATAGAAAAATTGAAACTCAAGACGAGCCACCGAAAGCAAATGAACACAAATGAACACAAATGAAAATGAAAAAAGCAATCAATGCAAATGAAGAAATTCACTTTCTGACTTGGCTAAGTAATCGAAACGTTTTAACAACCCACACACTTAGCAAACAGAGGTCGATTACGCGGCTTATATGCAAACCAAAACAATGAAATCACGTGTGCGAGACGATTTTTATTTTTTATTTTTTTTTTTGTACAACAAGAATGATTCAATGCAATACTTCCAGAAAAGAGAACTACAGAGGCAGGCAGAGAATTGAGAAACAACTGGAAAAATGTAGGAGAGAGCATAGGAGAGCACTGGATTGTAACGAGTGAAGGAAGAGTAATTAGAAAGGCGAAAACATTAGAAAAACAAAAACAGGCCAACAACAAAATGCAATGAAAATCAAAGCGAAGCAGGAAACGAAACAAACAAAAAAATATGTATTAAATGAAACGAAAGGTATTCGCTTGGCGACAGAGCCTTTTGCGGGCACTAATGAGTATTTAGTTAAATGTATGTACATATGTCAAACTCTGTTAATGATAATACTCGTATATGTATGTATGTATAATTGAGGCTCATGTGGGTGGTACATAGGTATGTATTTTCTATATGCGTCTACATAAATATGCATATTTGTGCCCCAAAAGCGAAGCGAAGTTGATGGAAATCAAAAGCCCAAAACAGTAGAAGAAGAAGACCAGAAAAGTGGCTGAGAGCGCAAATGCGAAAAGCATGCGAATGCGAATACGAAGAATGTCATAACTACATACATATGTACGTACAGACTGTGGCTGGCTATGGATGTCACTATGAATGAAGTGATTGGAAAATGCGAAAAACGCCAGGCGACGCACTGACGAATGCGTCCACGACTACCACCAAACGAAGCCAAATGGCCAACAATGGCTTTCATTTTCATTTTCATTTTCACATTTGATATTTAGTGTTTGAAAGACAACGCGTTCGACAACACGAAAATAGCGGAGCAAAAATCAAAGCAAATATTCTAAGCTTAGAATTTCAACAAATCTCTGTCTTGCTTTTTTTTTCGAAAAATTCTTTGTCTCTCTGTACTTATCCCGCGCTATCTGGTTACCGCTTATAAAGTTCGCCGTAGCGTAACTAATTACTCTGTTAAAAAGAGCCACTTATAAAACGGCCATTGTGGCAGATGGTTTTCCTAGCTGTGCTAATTTAAATGTAACGGTTCTGCTAACATTGTGACGCAACAACAAGACGACCAAACCGAAAACAGTAAAGTGATGCGTAAAGTTTAATTAAGACGGTGACTCACCGCTTTGGAGTAAAAAGTAAAAAAAAAGTCGTATGCGAATTTTACGAAAAAAGTAGACACATTTTATAACAATAATTATTTACAAATACATAGATACTAAAACAAACGCAAACGCAGACACACATGCAAATCTATAAAGTGAAATAAATGTATTTGGCGTTAAAAATTTTGTGGATTTAAAAAAAAAAAAAAAAAAATTCACTTCTGAAAAAAGAAGTAAAAGACAGTTTGACGCAGGAAAGCTACACACATATTTGCTTCCTTAATTACTTTACTACATACTAAAAATTGCGCTATATAAACCTCTTTTCGATTTCGCTTTAAAGTAGAACAGTTTTTAGGCGAATACTATGAAATAGCCGCTCATTTTCTTATAGCATTTTTTTCCCCTTTTTTTTCAAGAAATTCTTAAACTATACGGATTTGTGTATCTCAACTCTAATCTTTACTTTGCCGCTTCGTTCCTTCGTTCCATCGCAGCAAAACTTTATAATTAATAGTTGGATTAAAAAAAGAGAAAAATAGAGTGAAATAGCAGTAGAAATGGGAGCACGACGTCCTTCGTCACGTAACAACGTCATCCGCCTGCTTGCCTGGCTGCCGGTATGTCCGTCTGTCTGTCCGTCTGTCTGTTACCACGGTGCACTCTATTGCAATTCGCTGGCATAGAGATTTGCCCTACCACACTGCAACTATGGTGCGCCGAGTAAAACGTTTGCAGCATCAGCAACTAGCGTAACATGCACGCGTGCCAATCTGCAGCTGCATTGCCTCACTTGGACTTTTGTTGCCTGCTTTGGTATTTTCTGCCATCATCACCATCGCCACAACAGTCACCTCGTTCGTTGAGTTTATCGGTGTGTGACCTTCCTTTCATGTCATTCAATGAACTCTCGCCGCCAACACACATCGGCATGCCATTGCACAACAGCAGTGCATTTCTGGCGTACACACATGCATATGTACATGCATACAAACATGTGTGCTTGCATATGAATATGCAAAAGGTATACGTAATATCAACACTGTTGATGCATTGTTTTAGTCCAATATCACATAACATCAATATGTGGGAAATTCCACAATAGACAGCATTGTTAAACATACATATGTAGCTAACTAACTGACAGCTGGGTGTTCCAAACCAAAACGGACGGGGTTCACACTTCAAGAGTTTGATTTGTTTCAAATTTTTAGGGCTGATCCATAAACATAAATAAAAAATTAATATGAAATTTGAGCTTGACTAATACATTTTTAAAAACTTTACAGCACAAAAACATAAACAAATCGATTTAATAGTTTTCCAAATATCTTGATAACGGGGCGAGGAAAAAATTTGAAAAAACGCACACATACACACATCAAACACGTAAAGATTTAATTTGATTTTTTGCCGAATTTTCTAAAATGAAATAAATTACGCACACTTCCATTCTTTTACGAAATTTCGGAAAAAAATCTTTGAAGAAACGAAGATAATCGTGCTATGTGAAGAATATCTTTCGGAATTTTTCCAGAATTTTCTTTATTTTTCGTACGGAAATTTCTTTACGAGTTCGTGTCAACCACTTCATATAATTTTCTTTGAAAATTCGTAAAAAAATCGTTACTTAAGATTTCGGGAACTTTGGTTTGCAGGGAAGCTATTTAAAATTTTTTTTCTTGAAAAATTTTTTACATACACATTTTTTGATAGAAAACATTAGGTTTTGAAAATATGCCATCTCAAAAAAAAAATAAAAAAATCACAATGCTAGTTCTGAGTATTGCGCAATATTTAAGTATAGTATTATGGGGTGCACTCTACAATAATTTGAGTTATGATTTTTTTACACCGAATTTACAAATTTTTTTAATTTTTTTTACAATTGTTTTGAGTATGCAGTTTTGTAGCGTTTTAAGCGATTGCAAAACTGGCGTTAATTTTTTTCAATTATCTTAGAAACGGGTGCGCATTTTCTTCCATAAGAAAAAAGTGCAAAAAGCCGTCAGCATAAAAAATATTACAAGTCAACGCAATTTTGCAGGAGCTTCAAGTTGAACTCTATTAAACTAAAATTTACTCAAACATACTCAAAAGATTTATAAAAAAATTTTTAAAAATTTAAATTTGCAATGTACTCATTTTACTCAACTTCGGTGTAAAAAAAATTCATAACTCAAATTATTGTAGAGTGCACCCCATAATACTATACTTAAATATTGCGCAATACTCACCATTGTGGTTTAAAATTAACTAAAAATTAAAAAAAAAAAATTAAAAATTTTTCTTTTCATAGAGAATTTTGATGTGTGTATGTGTGATTTTTTTTTCAAATTTTTTCCTCCCCCCGTTCTCGAGAAACTATAAAATCGATTTGTTTTTGTTTATGTGCTGTAAAGTTTTTAAAAATATATTAATCAAGCTCAAATTTCATATATATTTATTATTTATGTTTATGCATCAACCCTTAATCTGTTTTGTCATCTGAGAGAAATTTGTTTAAAAAAAGTTCGTTAAGAAACTATTATGATTCATAAAAAAACTCCATTTTTGGAGGTATTTTCCAATCGGTCCAGCTCACGTAAATCTTAATATTTTTCCGAAATATTTTGGTGGTCTTCTTAAAATATAATAAATTTTGTAATACCGGTGGAAAAACCGCAACTTTTTTGGTGATGCAGTCAAATGGTTTGAACGAAAAACTCGACTATATTAACTTCTTTACAAAGATCATTTTTACAATTTTTTTTTTATCTAATCACATTAATGAGAAATCATATGCAATTCGCAGGCCAATTTATTTAATTGAAATATCTATATATATAATCTATATCATCGGTGAATGGGTATCAATCGAAATGTTTTTGAAAATACTCGTTTCTTAGCTGAACTATAGGAGGGTTGCCACTTAAAAAAAAAATCATATTAGGTAAAAGAAATATGTATCACCATATGAGTGCCAAACGAAAGGCTTTGCAGAAAGTTGTAGTTTCATAATATTTTGAAGAGGGTTGCTAAGAATATTCTTGAGGTGTTGGAAGAGGATTGCCACCTGTTAGAAAAATTAAATTCAAAGTATTTAATAAGTTAAATGCATAATTAAAATATGGGTATCAATCGAAGGGGGTTTGAAAAATGTCCGCAGCCATTCGAGGCCATATGTTTTTGTGATAATATTTCACAAGCGATGTGACTGTCTCATCTGTGCGAACTTCGAATTATTTCCGCCATGTTCGTTACCTAGCTGTATACATACATGAAAAAAACATTGCGGCAAGAGGTCGCCAAAATCTACCCACACTAATTGCAAATCTCTTTATATTTAAATGTAATAACTTGTGTTAAATTTCAGTTTAATAAATCACATGCATTTCTTACAACAAATAGAAGCAAATCAAAGTCAACCGAATTGCGGTGCAACAAGCCAACTTGTCTGAGATTCTCTGCGCTACCAATCGCACATTCCCAGCAATTTGCTATGCGGTTCGGTTAGCAAAGCACCACAGGCAGTTCCCAACCTCACCGCTGTTGAGCGCATAAAATGGCAATGGTGTTGTGTTGCGTAGTTTTCTCACACAGTGCAAATATATTTTCTTGTCAATGTCATTCATTGGTCTTTTTCACATCACAAGGCAATTGTTCGCCGAGTATACTATGTAATTATAATCTGTATGCCAACCCACCTACCCCTCCAATTCGCGTGAATTTGGAAAAACGCTAGAAAACTGCATATGTATGTATGCATGTAAGTGCAAAAAGAAGAGGAAGCAAAAGTGATTTATTTTCAATTAATTGTAGCGCCAATTTGAGTAGTGTTGTCTTATTATTGTTTCTCCCTCATTGATACAAGGCTAAAAATATTCAAGGGTTCCCAAGAGTTTTTTTTTTTTTTTTTTTTTTTGTTGACAGCGGGGTGTGTGTGTGTGTGCATTTGCGTTTGTGTGTGTATATATACGCGTTTACTAAATAAACTTTTGCAAATAACTACAAATAAATGTGAGATCAACTGGAAGCAACCCAATTTCACACGTAGACGTATTTTGTTTATTTTAGTAGAGGTGCAAAATTCACAGTAGACAGCAATAAAATAATTTGAGTGCCCGACCGTCCATTTAACTAAAGAAGGAACAATAAAGCGCTAATAAATAGGTACAAAAAAATAATAATTAAAAATTGGCAAAAACTAGCAGTGCGAATTCGATATTTTTAAGTGTGTTGAAACATTAAAAACATTTACTTTAGTACGCTACCAACAACTGCTATTTGTTTAACACAGTGTATGCAAATCACACAAACAACACACTCGATGTGAGTCATAGTTCGTGTCGGCCCATCTGCACCTATCCAATTGAGTTCCAGCACTTCCGCCCCCGCCACCCAACTATCGATCCTCTTTCGATTTTATTTGGTCTCTCTTACGATCAGTTCACCGGTCGGTTTATTACCCAAATCTAAATAATTGCCCCCCAACTAGCGCGCCGACCGATCGAAATCGAAACTCAATCAAAATGGATCACAGGGCTATTGCCAGTCAAGTGCGAGGTGAGTCGTTTATGCGGGAATTGCATGTGCAAATATGTATTTAATATTAGCTATTTACTACATTCATACTTTGTTTTGTTTTTGTGAATACTGCTTGCATAAGTAATTGTATGTATGTACACATGTATGTATGTATTTTGGCGTACAACGGAACGTATGAGTGATATGCAAGTGCAAATAAATGAATACTCGCTATTGTTAAACTATAGTTTTTATAAGCAGCTGTGCTTTCATTGTATATTGTTTTGACAGCTTTTTCAGATTCGCTACCAAGTTCTTGTTTGTTTTTTTTTCAAATGTAAATACATACATACATACAAAAAAAATTTAATTTTTAGAAATAATTATTAAATGGTGTGCATGTGCATGTCTTTTAAGTATGTACACTCAAACGACATACAACAGAAATATTGTTCTAATGCTCTCATATACATACACTGGGAATCAAAAGTGAGTGCATGGTGTTTTCCGTTTAATATTTGCAATGTTTTTCAAGTTAAAATTTTTTGTTATTTTTTTTTTATAAAAATATGATTCATGATTTAATCAAAACCACATAAATGAAACTTTATACAGAACTTAAAAAAAAGTTCAACAAATTTTCGTCTAAATTTTGAACTTTTTAATCGGAATTTTTAGAAAAATTTTGAGTACGCGGATATACCGGTTTTTTAATTCAAGTAAAACAAGTGCAAGCTTTAAGCGGCTAAAAAATCGCGTTCAGTATGAAACACATTTTTATAAAAAAAATTTTACTTGAAAACCATTGCAAATATTAAAAAAAAAACACCATGCACTCACTTTTGATTGCCAGTGTACATACTTATACTTTGCCGCACTGTAGCAAATTGATGGCCCACTGCAAGCTACAATGCTGGCACAGTAAATCGTTAGCTTGTAAAGTATTACCTGTTGTAAGACACCATTCATCGACACCTGCAGACACATTGATTGTTAAGTGATTGAATGATTGAATGACAGGCGCTATTGGCGCACACAAAGACCACTACAATATACATATGTATGTATGGCAAAAATCACAACATTTCCCATACACATAAACCACCTGTAAGTGCAACAACCATTCAATTCAACTGCGAGACCAGTTTGCTTTAGTCGATTCCCATTCGGCCGTACATAATTTTAAACATGATTTCATCTTTTCCACTTTGGCACTTTGGCTCTGGGCATTGATACATTTTCACACGTGTAGTTTATCACCAGGGAACGGATTTTTAGGACATAAAAACCTATAAAAAAGGCAAAATAAAGTAACGAAAAAAGCAAAAAAAGGCAAAATAAAATAGCGAAAAAGGCAGGAAAAGGCAAAAATAAGGTATTGCAAAAAAAGCAAAATAAGGCACTAAAAAAAGACAGAAAATACGAAGAACAATCAAAAAATATATTTTGTTTAGAAATGTTTATATTACAAGTAAAAAGAGAAAAAATATGAACTAGTTTCATTATGGCTGCGTTTCTTTATACATTCCAGATAATCCCATTTCACAGCCGGAAAAACAGAATGCGTTTGAAATATACGTCAACATATCATCAGGAACGTTCCAAAGAATAAATAAACAAAAAAGCTTATTCCAAACGTTCAGAATGAATAAAGAAATGCAGCCTATATGAAAAATTTGTACTTTGAATCTTTGACTATTTTATCCTTTCGAGTTTCTAACTCATAAAACATTAATCTGTATAGTTGTAGTAACATTGAACCACAAGATGCATTTTGAAGTTTTCTGGCAGCATTTTCATTCGATTTTCGCGAAGAAAAGCCTTGAATGTACTAAATGTGCGCTCGACGTAAGTTGATACAAGTGGAGCCCAATTTAAATATGGAACGTTTGAAACGTTCTTATTATCAGGAATAAGGGCGTTTTCCTCGCCCTTTACAATTTTATCCACACCCCGTATTGTCTCCAAGCCTACGTTAGCTGAGAAAACGGCTTTGAATTTTTCCAACACCAGTTTGGCAAGAGGTCCCTGCGCTTCTATAAGCCGCATGGGCATGTGTATATTTTTTAATCTTAAAAAAAAAAAATTGTAAATGCTATAATCACTTTTTTAAAGGTAGAAAAGGCAAAAAAAGGCAAATATCTTAAAAAAGGCAAAAAAGGCATCATCAAATGTGTATATATGGAATCAGAGAAAGCTAAATCGTGGACATTCTTAATCGAATATACTCTATCTCTTTAGCAGAAAAAAAGGCAATTTCCATAAAATCCGTTCCCTGTTTATCACCTTTATTGATGTTATGAAATTGTACAGAAAATCAAAAATTAAACAACAATCAATTATCGTTATAATGCTGGTAAAAACCCTTTTTCAGAGTAAATAACCGTAACGGAATGAAAGGTAGAGTTAAGTATGCCTAAGTATATTCTTTAAGTGAATCTTATGGAAGGTCCAACGTCCCTAGCGTGGGGATTGTTCCGCGGTTGTAAAAGGTGCATTTGTTGAAATGGCGCATTTTGTAATAAACAATTTCGATGGCGCGAAGGGAACGACTTACCCACATGCCTGTGGATAGCGAGCACTTTAAATCTAGAACCAGAACTTTCTCTCTAGAACAGGAAAGTGTCCTTTTTTCCTGCAGCGAAAGAACCCAATCAGGGAATAGTGATATCTACCACAGCAGACGACTACTCTGGCTTTTGTGTGACAAAGACTTCATTTGTTCAGGGCTACGCGAATGGCATAGTGATTCTTATTAGGAATGGCTTTGACGGCACAATGTCAAACCTGCTATAGAGCGCGTGCTCTCAATGGAAGCCGTACCTAGATAAAGGTATTTAAAAGACTAGGACCTACCCGAAGCTAATGGGGAGAAACGAAGGCATCAGATCTAAATTAGCTAGATTTACAAAACCCGCCTGGTGAAAGAAAACCATGGCCATGGTATTGGCCAGAAGGCTCCTTTTCACTAGCATGAGGCAAGTTAACGCTGTATTTCAAGCCGATGTGCACGCCACGGTACAATGTCTGAGATACATGTGTGTACATAGTAGGGTGATTGACTCGGTTTTTCCAAACCGGTTTTCACCGTGTTTTATTTTATATCTATAGGCGGTTTTTTTAAATTCTTGATCGGATAGACCAGATTTTTCAACGAACAAAGCAGGTTTTTCGAAGTTTTCAAGGCTTTTTCCAGTTTAAGGGAAACCCGTAAATGCGGAGATCTACACTCTTACTCCAGCTCCGAAGAAGCTTTTTTATGGCAGAAGACAGTGTCATTGTCTTCCGAGGGGCGAACGCTATTTAAAAAACCTTTTTTGATGTTGTTGGGACCAAAAATTGAACCATGGACCTCCCGTGTGGCAGTAGGCGCATCTAAGCACTCGGCTACAACGGCAATAGCACTACTCAAATCGAAAAAAGTCCGAAGAAGTGGAATAAAGTATTAAAGAAAAAGTAAAAATAAGACCAAACATGAATTTTCAATCATTTTATTTGCTTTACTTTTGATCTAAAGAAAAACTTTGAACTTATTTTGCTTTACTGCTGTCTAAATATGTAAAAGTTATCTTTAATTTTAATAGTTTTATCGTAATATAATATTTGGTCATGGCTTCATCAACACCGATTTACCCGGTTTTTTCTCAATTCCAAAATAGAGAACCGGGTTTTTTTAATTGCAATTTTTCGAAAAACTCGAAAACCGGTTTTGGAAAAAAGCGAATAATCGTACATAGTATACAGAAAGTGGTGCGATACACACGCTGACGGCAGTGTGCCTCGCCACGAAAGCACACCGCTTAACACTCATCGTATCCAGAATCCCGGATAAGCTCATTTGTCTATTTGTCATGTATTTCATGATTAGATACTATTACAGTAATCTTAGTCCTTAAATTTTCAAGATTACAATTATTATAATCATAATGGTAACATTTAAATATGTTTACAATTAAAGCAATAGTAATCTTATATAATTTAAGGATTATAATAAGGCAATCGTAATTGAAATGTAATCGTAATCAAAAATTACCCTGCATAAATGCATAACTGTGGTTAGCCCCATATTCTTAAAATTCTGCCTCACCAAAATAAATGAGAAAACTATGTTTGCACTTTGCCTTCGCCTTTATTGGTTTAAGCAGCTTGTACGCATCAAGAAATCAATTATTTTAACAATGCAGACGTTGTTGATTGCTTTCAAGAAGCTTTATATAAACTGATTGACTTGCATTTGGGTTTTGTTACGAAGTTTTATGAATTAACGCTGTTTTCACTATTAGCAAAAATTGTGTTCACACTTAGGGTTTTTGTTGAGAGTAAATCATTAAAAAATTGCATGCTCTTGTTGCATGATCTCCAAGGAAAGCTTGCGTATTTACATATATATTTATGTATGTATGTATATGCTAATGAATATATAAATATTTGCAAAGTGATTTACTTGTAATTTACATTTAAAAACAAGATGGAACTTCATTGCCACTGCTATACAAATATATGAATTATATTTCCCAGCCATACACTGAGGGAAATAATGCATAGTAAAAGTGAATACTTTATATTTGATTATCGTTTAAAAATGTTCATATTTAAAAATAATATTTTCATACTAAAATTTATTACGCACGTATTTGACTGTTCACATCTGAGTATGTATATGTAAGTGTTATCTAACTATAAGCTATCTTTAAGTTCATTAAGCTAAAAGTCACTATTATCCGTTTTTTTTTTCTTTGACGAAAACTAACTATATTTCTATGGCGATGGCCGTGAAATAGTCAAGGATGGTTACCTCTGCATTTGATGTAACTAACTTGTAACTAACTACTTTTGGACATAAAATATCAATAGGAAAAACAAAATATTTTATTTATTTTACTTAATTTTATTTTTTTTCCTGTTATCACATTTCATATTGGTTTACATATTCTGCTATAGGTGGTCCCATATTCGAACTCCGCCAGACATAACTTCAAAATGATAATATGAAATTTCGATCTTCCTTTTATTTGTCCTCAATTCGAAAAAGTATTTGC